GCCTATAGGAGTATTGTAGATATTATGTAGTGTAAAAGGGATCCCAAATAGCACAGTGGCACTTGTAATGCATCAAGTCTTTGAGTAAGTACTTGGTTCGTATTGAATATTTATTGTAGACGTATTCATCGACATATGTGGCCGATAGAATTTGGCGCCACGGTCGAAAAGGCAGCTCATGTTGATTACTCAAGCTCTTACATGATACCGAATTACTCAACCGTGTATAGAATGGAGAGAGCTGAGGAGGGTTGCAATCTGTATTTAAGTTTAGATTTCTTGGGTGTGAGTCCCTTACCGGGATCGGTAACTGTGGCGGAAGCTCACTTAATATGGGATAAGGTTCTTAACCATTTAGTTGAGGTTCGACAGAACCAGTGCCTAAAGGCGTTCAAGGTAGAACAACAGCCTCATAGGCTGACTTCAATCAGTGACCCCCTACACGGGCATCGACCGATGGGGTCCCGCTCGACAATGGGCGGGAGTAATGTTGTAGTCTGCTCTAGAGCAGAGCGGGCCATCCAACAGGAGGCGATCCAACAGAAGGTGGACCTTAGGGAAGAGATCGACTTCAGGGAGGAGATCGACTTCAGGGAGGAGATCGACTTCAGGGAGGAGATCGACTTCAGGGAAGAGATCGACCCCAGGGAAGAGATCGACCTCAGGGAAGAGATCGACTTCAGGGAGGAGATCGACCCCAGGGAGGAGGTGGAACTAATTAATTCGGAGTCAATTAGGATCGTGGATGTTTGTCTGCTCAGACCTCGTGAGCTGGCCCAACTAAAGAATTATAATGCATGCATCCCGGCTATCGTAAATAAGTTGAAGAACATTAATAGAAAGTGTAACCAACTCATAGGGGCTGAAGACTTGCTTGTCGACGCCATCAAGCTACGTATCTTACAAGGATTCGGAATAAGTCCCGCAGCAAAGGCCGTTACAGAGATAAGCACATCCAGTCAGGAACTTGTGAATAACCACGAGCCGGACAATGATGCTCACGACACCGCGCACGACAGTGACTATTTGGATAGTGAAGATGACGTCAGC